GGAATCTTAAGTGCAGCAGAAATTTTTTTGTAACCTTTGCCAGATCTGTGCCTTGCCACAATTCTGTCTCTGAGCTCTTCAGGCAGTTCCTTTGACCTCATGATTCTCATTTGCTCTGACATGCACTGTGAGCTGTAGGGTCTTAGACAGGTGTGTGGCTTTCCTAATCATGTCCAATCAGTATAATCAAACACAGCTGGACTCAAATGAAGGTGTAGAACCATCTCAGGGATGATCAGAAGAAATGGACAGCACCTAAGTTAAATATATGAGTGTCACAGCAAAGGGTCTGAATACTTATGACCATGTGATATTTCAGTTTTTTCTTTTTTAATAAATCTGCAAAAATGTCAAACGTTCTGTGTTTTTTCTGTCAATATGGGGTGCTGTGTGTACATTAATGAGGAAAAAAATGAACTTAAATGATTTTAGCATATGGCTGCAATAAAACAAAGAGTGAAAAATTTAAGGGGGTCTGAATACTTTCCGTACCCACTGTATATATGTGTGTTTAGGATTAATTTCCTTATTTAAATTTACAGTATACTGGTAACTCCAAAACTATAGTTTTCAACAGTTTATCTGAGATTTTAACACTGCTGTGCCCTGGGTTTTATCTAACCAGCCCAGTAGAGTTGAGGTGAACAGGATTTATTCATAGTGCTCACAGTATGGTAAAACTCGGCGTCCGTGTTTTTTTCTAGAAACTCTGTCCAGGTTTCTCCGGAGTATCCATAGACCTGACTGTGAAAACCTGTCACAGAGACAAGTTTTTACATTTTTGTCGTACTACAAATGACAGAAAAGGTTGATAATAGGTTTGGAAGTTAGTTTTAGTTGAATCTTGAACCTTTAAAAAAAATTTCATTAACTTTTGAGCCAGAAACCTGTTTTAGAGGCTCTGTGTTGGCCAGTTTGTGGTTGTCCTGCTCCCATGTCCTTGTGCAGGGCCTACAGTCCCCAATAGCTCCCTGTCCAAAAGGATTCAGGTGATTCAGAGCAGCCTGGTGATGAAGCTTTGCACACAGAAATGCCATTACCCGACCTGCCTGTCTGTAGACGCTGTGTGCTACTTTAATCATTTCCCTTGTATGCCATGTTATCACGCCAACACTGAAAAACGTTTTCCTTTGAAATGACCATGTTGACTATAGAGTGTTAAGTTGTTTAGAAGCTTAACAAACCTTGTGACATACCTCAGATTTAATCCAAAGCTGAACACACACCTTCACATTCAAATCATACGGTAACCTGCAGAGTTTTCCTATAGACATTACATTCAGCAGTATTCATCATAACACACTGTGTATCCTTGTGGTCTCCTTTATCATTAATGAAATTACATATATATATATCTATATCTCATGAGTTGTCGATTATCAGTCAGTATGACTGTAAAAATATATTGCGGTACCATTTTGGGCCATATTGCTCAGCCCTACTTGGATGTTCTCTTTGCAGTCAAGAGATCAAAGATTTTTGTCAATTCACTCTATGTGCAGGACATACAGAAAATCGAAATATAGTTTCTTTCTCACCTAGTATTGAATGCCATACCATTTAGGAAACTAAAATAGAACAAAAGTAGAGTAAAAACAGACTAAAAAGAATAAGAAAACTAAGTCAAAGTGATTAGGATAAAAACTAAATGGTATAACCTAATAGGCTATGACTCAAACAATGCAATAAGTGACAGTAGTGCAAATAATAGCAAGAAGATTGTCAGATGGTTGTGAGATTGACATGCACATGGACAGTAGTGCAAATGACCAACAGCAGCAGATATGACGGTAAAAACAGTCAGCAGCAGATTTACATGTAATATAACAAGACCCAAAACAGTAGAGGTAGTCTTTTTATGTCTTTATGTTCTGTGGTGGGCTAAGGCCATACCAGATAATGATCAGTATCTAGACTGACAGCTGTTGTAGCTGTGACGTCCTCTGTTATTCACTCATTTCCATTCTTGGCATGAAGTCAGCCCTCTGTAGAAACTTGTCCTTGACAAAGAGGCTACAGGAGTTTGGGTTTATGGTGCTTTAACCATCATGATTTTATTTTGGAGGGGATCCCACATGGTCCAAGCTATGCAAACTGATGATCAGTCGTCTGCGCCAGGTCTCACTGATCAGTCAGCAGATGGAGCAGAGACTAAATGAAACACTTAGCACACCTCATACGGCATGTTGGCGTGCACCTTGAGAGTTGGCTCTTTGCCAAATGAAAACTGATGGCGAGCGGCTGTTGTCATAGCAACAGCAAGTAGCGGCATGCAACGGATAGCTCTCCCATCAGCACCCAACACACTGCCACCCTATCCTGTTCCGCTGTAGCTTAATTTCACCAGGATTTAGGGCTAAGAGGGTGATGACTTTGGTTCTCTGGAGATTAAAGTCAGCGAGGCAAAGGCGAATAATTAACCACCCTCTCTCACTCAGAGGGAGGTATGAGCGCGTACAGCAGGGTCAAAGCCGCAGCAGCCAGACTGCTCAGAATCAGTAGTTAATAATTACTGAAGGCAACTGCTGATTTACAAAACTCTGGTATGGGTTTAGCCAGCTGTTACATTTATGGATTTTTTTTTTTTTTGTCTGGTATTTACGTGTTTCTTTTTTTAAGTTAATAAAGTATATTACACTAAAGAAAATAGTGAATTAGTGTAGGATGACACAAATGCAATGTGTACGTTGTTAAACTCTGGAACAGAATTTCTAAACATTCCTAATTCTGGCTTCTAAATGTGATGTAATTGCTGTTTTTATTGTCTGATATGATGATGTAAAGAATGCAAACTACATATATTAAGAGTTTTGGCTTGTTGGTTGGACAAAACAAGGAGCATGAATAATTTTGTTTGCTTTGTTTCTGTAAAACTATGATGGCATTTTTAAAATTATTTTCTGATAGTTATTGACAGAATGGTTCAGTACTGATTATTCAATAGAAAAATAGATTGCTATGAAATGTTTTATTACAAGTATTTTATCTTTGTACTCAGAAATAGGAAATGAGAGGATTTGATTGAAATTTACCATGTTATCGCAATTAGACACTCACGAGTGCTAGGCATACCAGCTCAAAAATGATCAAATGTGAAAAAAACCCAAGTGTAATAGTAGAAACTTTGTCTCCTGCAGGCTGGAAGCAGTAAAAGTGCAGGCTGTAGATGGAAATGTCAGGCTCGTACGTTAAAAGTTCTTCCTGTGTTTATTCAGCTTCACTGGATTTAGAGCTGCTGGTTAAAGTAACCCTGTCTGATTTCCTCTCTGATCTCCTCTGTAGCACACAGTAAATACAGACTCTCGCCAGGTTCTCTGCTGACTGTGTCTGCTCTCTGGCTGGCTGCCACAGTAGAAAAGACATGACCTTGCCTAGAGAGGTTCACTGCCAGTCAGTGGGCAGCTGCAGGAATCAGCTGAGCCACTATTTGATTCGCTTTTTCTCATTCACTGAAAAACTTGGGAGCAAGAGAGGGGACGATGATGTTTAAATTTAATCATCACATGTAGCCCTAATCTGTTTTCAGGGAGCATTTCAGTATAATTTATGGAGCAGCAGAGCATTGTTGGTGGAATATTGCACATCAGAGAGATGAGTCATTTTAAGACCATAAAAACACTGCATGCTGATTGACAGTTATTAAAGGGTCTGGGCCATCAACTTGCTCATAAACAACCATTAAATCTAAAATTTTATAACAGCTGTACTAATCCCAGTGGTAGGTCTCCACCTGGCAAGGAAAAAATGGTTACCTTCAGCACGGCTGCCATCATACATTGCTCAGTTACCTCTTCGCTCCCACCTGTCCAGGTACCTGAGCCGCGTGTTTGGCATGCACCCGAAGGAGACTGCCAGACAGCTGAGCCTGGCCGTGAAGGACGGCCTGGTGGTGGAGACCTTGACAGTCGGCTGCAAGGGCTCCAAGGCTGGCATTGAGCAGGAAGGATACTGGCTGCCTGGGGATGAGATGGTACGTCCAGTGTCCATTTATCAGGTTCCCAACACAGGCAACAGTGACTCCTCCTTATTGGTCAACAAAAGCAAGGTAATTGAGCCTTTTAGCTTAGGTAGTTACCCGATGGGTTTCTCCAGATGTAATAGTAGAATTATGTTGGTGCCCATGTTCACATTGCGAGCAACATCAAAGTAAATCGACTACAGAATGGCTCGGAGACACAAACTCCACCATTTGGAGCAGCCCAGTCAGAGTCCTGACCTCAACCCCGTAGAGGTTTATGCAGAAAACCAGGAAATTGCGAACAGTTCCATTACTTTTTCTTGCGCCTGTTTATATGCAGAAAATATTGTCCATAAAGGGTTTGCCAAGAAGCTGTCACACCTACAACCAAAGGGAATCCAGTTGCCTATGAGTGAAACACTTGACAGAAGTGGTAAATGATTTGACTCCGAATATGCTCAGGACAAATGTAGTAATCACATGATGATGAATGAAACTACTATACTGAGGCGTGCTGTGTGTTCTGCTCCTGAGGTAAACCCAAACACATAAGCAGTGGTGCAGTTGCCACAGGAGGCCTAACCGAGACCACAACATGGATTCTGTTCAGTATGTAGCTGCCCATCTGTCGCATTGCTCCCAGTGTGAGCACAGTGTTAACAGAGTCACAGCATGCAAATGTTACATGAAGCAAATAACAGAAACGGGACAGGTAGAAAAATAAGATGTGGCATTTTTGATAAATTAAGGAATTCCATAATTAGTTTTGTGTATATACCAATGTGCAATCAAATATTAAACATGTCAAACCATGCAGAGTCTTCATCTTCAGACGTACCCAGGCAGCCTGCTGCTGTGCAGCTCTGTGTTATTAATGTTTGGCTCTTTTTACGTGAAGTGCTTGTTTTTATTTCCGTGTTATTTCCCTTGTTAGTTATAAGGAACAGTTCACTGTGTAGCCATATTTTCGCATGTCTCTTCAACAATAGAGCTGCACTGAGTCTCATTTCACAGTGTATCAGCTCTACCTGGGTGAGAGTCCTCATGTCAGTTACCATCTGTAAGAGCACTTTATGGATTAGTCTGCAAGTACCATTAACATGAATGTGGTAGCTGTTTTAATCCCACTGCTTTTTGCACCAGGCTACCAACACCCTGCCAGTAATGGTGTTATGCTCTTAACCATTAAACCAAAGAGGCATCATCAGTGATGTGTGAGCGGAACATATAATGCAGGACAAACAAACAAACAACAGTTTTTGTGCGTTCAACTTGATCCCCTTTACCTGCTGTTCTTCCTGGAGTCCATGTGCAAAATTTCTCATAATACTAATTACCGTGGCTTGTAATTTGTATCAGAAAAATAATGCGATGGGAAAATAAGCTTTGTTTCATAGTTCTAACATGTACTACTTAGCCTCTTAGTCTTGCACATGCTCATTCACAAAACATGCAGCAGCCGATGTTGATTCAAAATATTTGCACCCAAAGTTATTTGTTATGATTGCAGGCTTGAAAATGAGTCATGGAAAGAAGTGTGCTAGATTGGGGAGTTCACTTGTAATGGGCTGTACTGTATAGTGTCAATACAAAATGTTTTTATGGTTGGAAAATGATGTTGGTCTCTCAGGACATGACACTGTTGTCCAGTGGATCTCAGGTCATTTTAAACACTGCCAGCAGGAGTTTTAAACACTACTCTCTGAATCACTTGCAATCACAGGAGCCGAAAACCGAGGGAAGCAAGGTAAGGGCTGCATTGTTATTTTCAAATTCAGGGTTTGTTCTTTATTTGATCCCTTTGTTTTTTTTTCCCCTCTAAACTAACATCATTCTGTGAGAAATGGGTTCTGCCACAAGCAGTGCGGTCAGGGATTGAAATGAATCTTTTTATGCAGGCTGCAGAGGAGCTAAACTGCATACAGTATGTCCTGGTTAGTGAAAAGTTGGGCTGCATAAAATGAAATGGTAAACCTTGTGTGCCAGTGTCGAGAAATAGCCCTCTTGCACTGTGACTGACTCTACCCACTGTGCCTTAAATAAGATTATTACACAAGGTGAAAGCTAAAAACAGATCAGGTTTCTATTTGGAAATCACTGCATGCTGAATCACAGTGCCAAAAGCTACATGGTGTCATTCATTAATGCTGTAAAAAGCTTCATGAAAGTCCATTGCAGCGCTGTCTACGTGGCCAAATTTCTTGCGGAAGTGATCAGTGATCTTGATGGAAAAAAATGTGCTCGCTACTTATCTACAGATGTGCAGCTGCTTGGTTTAAACTAGCCTCACCTGGTACAGCCCCAGGCTGGATCCAGTTCTCAGACAGTGAGAGTCAAATAACTGTAAATTATAGCTTCAACTGTAATCAGTGTTCCCTTAATTGAGTCGTTTTTGATTGTGAGATGACAAGCAATGCTAGCATAGCCGCAGGTTGGTAGCAAGCATCTGTGCGTTTGTAGTATTTTGGTCTTTGTAGCTGTAGTTCTCCTCAGAAGGGAAGTGTTCTGCTGTGTTCTTAACCGCTGTCCGGCATGCTTATTTTCTGTTCCTCATTTTTAATTGATGAAACAGGGCGGCAGCGGGGGGGAGTTGGGTAGTTGTGCTGGGTGTGATTGTGCTCTTTAGTCCTCTCCGTGCCTGCAGCTAGTAATACAGCCGACTGGTTCTTTCAGGTTGGCGGTCTCTCAGCGGACAGTTTAGAGTTTTACTGTGAGAAGCACTGTAAAGAAGGTGCTAGGTGGAGGCCAGCTCTCCCTCTGCAGGTGCCTGGATTCAATCCAGCTGGCATGTGCTGTGTCCTTGTGTTGACCTCAGGGATGTTTACTCCTCAAACAGATTACCACAGCATTTGCACACTAGCCATACATTTAAAAATAGCAGTGAAATTCTTGAAAATAGATGTTAAATGCACTGCCTCAAGTCAGATTGGATTCAATCCAGGTTTGCCACAGAATGATTATCTTATCTATGAATTCACACACTAAATCTTGCATTTGTAAGGGTTTTGTCTTAAATTTGTTTTTCATAAAACATTTGGATGCTTTTTTTGATACTTTGAAAGTTTGGTGGTTGAACTAATTTGAATCTGTGAACTTGTGATGCATGATAATTAACATGACATGATGTGTTGATGCACTTTCACCACACTGACTGTAAAAGAGACCCTCAATACACAATTTAATTTACTAATGTGTTGACAATGTTCAGTGAAACTTACTTGTGCAAATATTATTACACCTTCCTTCGTGATTTTGCTTTGTTTCTGAAACACTGTTAGAGTGCAGGGCTTTTATGGAGGATTTTATCCATGTTGTCCATCCCTTCACATAAGTGGAATAATTATGAGTTTAATTGCAATGTGAATAAATTGGCCTCAGCACACTTTTAATTGTGCCTATTATGGCTTCTGTTGGTTGTATTATTTTTCTTTAACCCAATGCTGTATGTGACATTGACCGGCTGTTATCAGTCTAAGTGGTAAAACACACCGGAAGTGTTTTCTATGAGCATCACACCCATCTCACGCTGCAGATAGAATCCATTATATCAAATGAGTCAATCCACACTGAATCCGTGACACTCACATATCTGGTAGAACCCTCGTGGGTTTTTGTTTGTTTGTTTGTTTGTTTGTTTCTGGTGGAATGTGTTATGACTGATCAGGCTTCTTGAGTTTCACTTTCTACCTCTGTAACCAGCCTGGGAAAATCAATACAATCTAAATCCATAGGCTACATAAAAATGATTAAAAAAAAAGATTTCTTCCTGATGATTTTATGTGAAAACTATTTTTGTCCAGTACACTTATTGTCAGCCTGGTAAAGACTCTTTGTCCAGCTGCTATCCTGCTAACAGACGGCTGTTCTGACAACTTGAAATACACAAAGGGCTGCTCACATCTCGCTTCAAGTGTTTTACCAGTAAATGTGGGAACAGCAGCCACATTATTAAAATACAGGAAATGAGAATGTCTGAAAATGTAATGTTAAACTTTTGTAGAACTTTGTTAAAACTTGTGAGGTGCATACATAGCTACAACCCGGTGACTGGTTTATGTAGGTCTTAAAAATATATCGGACTGCAAGTGGAGAAGTTTATTTCTAGAAGATGCAGGAGGTGGTGCAGATGAATCCTGGAGTTGTTTTGTATAGATCATTAGAAGGCATGCTAGCCCTGCTGCTGAGCCTCGCTCGGGTCTCTGGTGTGTCCCAGCTTGACACTGACAGCGCAGAGCTGTTTATCAGAGTCGGAAAGTAGTGGGAAGAAGGCTAAAGGCCGCCAGCCTTCTGGCTGCATCAGCTCCTCCTCTGTTACTCTCCAGGTCTCTGCCTTTGTTGGCAGCTTTTAGTCAGGGCACATTTCTCCCTCCAAAAAGGCACTGTATTTCAGAGATGTTTTAGAGTAGTCTGTGACTGTAACCCAAAACAGATTTTCCCACTTTTTATTTTTACATTTTGACTTTTATTTGTGCTGATAAATTTGAAATCTTCAGCCTTTGATCTTTGTCCAATCTGGTACTCAGACATCAGGTTGCTGTAATGTGTGTTGTGCTAGGTCCCAGTTCTCTCCACACTTCTGTTGAAACTCACTTTGCTGAAACCACAGACTCTGTCCTTGGCTGAGAGAGCTCAAGCCTTTAGAAAGCGGCTGCTTGTCTTTCATCACAGTTCCAACAATGGTGAAGTGGATTTTGATACTCAACAGAACACGAGGACCATCTCTGTATTGTGAAGTGTTTTGTTGGTGAAGAGCCTATTGCACTCTAAAAAGTAAAAGTCCTTTGACGATTCTGTGGATGGAGTATCAGTATATTCACTCTGACATGGTCTTTAAATGTGAACCCTAGAGAAATTTCCCTCCTTCGTTTGTGTTCATTTGTGAATATGTGAGTACAGATGTCACATTAACGTGGACTCGGTTTGCTCCCAGTTAAATCACTGGAGTGAGAATGAGAGCTGACTGTGGTCACTCCGACATACTGTGTGGCACTTTACAGTGCAGGACCAGTTTGGAGCTAGCTGCTCTCTAGCTGTTCAGATAAATGAAGAATTTCTCACACTTGTTGATACTAATGTGCCCTGGGTGATTGAAGGTTATGGATTCTGGTAAGGCATGGAACAGTGTTAGATGAGCCTTTTAAAGAGCCCTCAATAAATCCTGGAGTTTCAGAGTGTAGATGGCTTCCTGGCAGGCCCTGCTTCTGATCAAGTGCTTGGTACTGCAGCGACACTGGCAGCCTGAATATCAGAGCTGTCTTAACTCCTTTTGTCCTCATGACCATTTATGCTTGTGTTGTGGCTCCTTTCACCCCTGCACTTCCGACGGAGGTGCTTTAGTCCAAGTAGTTATAAATCTGCATTTTTTTTTTTAAGACAGAGGAAGGCAACCCTGCAGCAGTGCACATTCGTTTTAAAGTATTGTGTTAAAAGACTTATTTAGGAAAATGTATTGCTGCCAGATGTTTGTCTGTGATGAAAACCACAGTATTATCAACTAGACTTCCTCAGAAGGCTCTATACCTGATGATTGCTGAATCTAGTTTACTCTCCTCTGTTCAGACGTGAGCTACAGCACACAAACACATGGAGGAAAGATTAAGAAAGACATCATATTGCTTTTTTTTAAAGCGGCGATCAATCATGACTTTCCTGCTCTCCCCTGCTGTGTCAGCCCAGACTGTGAGTGGGAGGAGTTGGATTGTTGACAGATTGATGAGTGGTTGAATTTTTAGTGGTTCATACTTCTCTCTCTCTGCGCCTTTCACTTGAACCCCTTAATGATAATTGGCATTGCAGTCAGTGTGTGTTAGGGTAAAAGAAGGCAGCGACCTTCTAGCCACAAACACTTGTATGTAAGTGAGACAAGTATTCAGTCCTGTATGTAGCTGCACAAGTATGTTACATCCATAAAGATGTACAGTGTGCATGACCACCAGTCTGGTGTTGTAGTAAATGGTTTATGCGTACCAGTCAGTCAGGTCCACCCCCTTCTATGTGGCAGTAGCTTGTTGCTTTTTAAAAATCACAATTGTCCTAAAAGGACCTGAAATTTTTTTTTTTTTTTGGTAGCAAAGTTTGACAGTAATACAGTTTGGCATATTCACAGTTGGGGGCAACTCAGTATAATGGTTTTTTGTATTGGCACCAAGCCGCTCCTCAAGGAAGGAAGCTGGTCTCTCTGAAAAGCTCCTCAGTGTGTTTTTTTTTTTTTTTTTATGCAAGAGGCTAGATCAGCCCCATAAATTTTTCACAGTATCTGTCGGTTCACAATTTGCATCAGTGACCTTTTGGTCCAGTGCTTTGACCTCTGTATCGTCACTACCTGCTGTCACTAGGGTCAGTCTGACTGGATGAAATTTGTATTACAAAAGTCATTTTAGTTTCTCTACTCTTTGTTCACTGAGTGCTGATACACCATAAGTAGATTTAGTAGGAAAGTTTAAAAAATAATTAAACGTTTTGAGTTTTTCCATGGACTCTGAAAAATTTTCTAATTTGCATTTAGTGCGCCTCCTGTAGAATTTGAATGAGAGCATGTTTTGAAGTTTCTGGTGAAATACACGGCGATGAGTGTGTGCCTGCAGTAGATAAAACAACCATGCTACCAGATCCTGAGCTATTCTGTCACCCATGGTTGAATTTATTAATGTTTATGTATTTTGGTTGCAGTGCCTAACATGTTTGGATTAGTGTTTTTGGACCATGGCAGTTGGAAGTGAATATTTTATTCTGTCTTGCTGCCAATTTAGGAGGATACAAATTTTTACATAGCTTTAACCTTTAGTGGTACTTGAAATTTTTCCCCATAAGTTTCTAAGCATCACAGTCATCATAGAAGTCACAAAGTCATAATCACAGAAGAATTGCGAACAAATTTCCGACAGCTACAGGAGCAATAGAAGCTGTGTTTTCAAGCCAAATACAGTCTAGATCAGTTTCAGGCATTTCAGGGTTTTGTTTCTCTGAGTAGGATTAATCACACGTGTGTGAATCTGAGAGCTACAGGAGTTTTAATTGACAAGTGGATGGAGAAAGTAATTTCCTCCCCTGCTGTGGTTGGCGGGTTGGAGGGGGGGGTCACCCAGACTTGTGCTCTGCTGTGTCTTCCCTGCAGGACTGGGAGACAGAAAGCCACGACTGGTACTGCTTCGAGTGTCACCTACCGGGCGACGTCCTCACTTGTGACAACTGCTTCCGAGTCTACCATCTCAAATGCTTATCAGAGGAGTGCAAGCCCAGAGACGGAGGCTCACACTGGCAGTGTGTTGCCTGCAGGGTAGGTGGTCACGCTGTGGACGTGGTCGGTGTGTGTACTCTTTTGTGTCTCTTTTTTTTTTTTTTTTTTTAGAAACATTTTTTGGAAAGGATGCATTTCTTATTACTTCAGGCTGCTTTAGGGTAAGAAATCTGTGGCCGTCCCTGGTAGGCTAGTTGTTAAGGGGCAGCGCTCTCAGCGGCGCCCTGGGTTCAAATCCAAGTTGAGTCAGGAAGGGCATCCAGCGTAAAACACGTGCCAAATGTCAACATGTGAGTCGTCAGTGTGACGATTCCCTGTGGCGACCCCTAAACGGGAAAAGCCGAAAGTGACTTTCTTTAGGGTAAAAAAAAGTGTTTTAGGGTTAAGGTTGGATTTGGGTTTAGTTTAATATGAGGCTATGGGTGCATGTTTAGCATTTAGCTGGTGAGTAATCATTTATCTTGATGTGTATCATAAGTGCATGTTATAAAATAAACACTAGTTTATAGCTGCAGGCTAGCAATCTTCTATTTGGATTGAGTTATTTTGGAAACCAAATGTGCCTCTACATGTCGTCCTTCTACAGCGAAACTCTGTCTGAAGATATCCTCATAACTTTTTGCAGTCAGCCAATAACTGAGAGCCACAAAAGAAATCTGGTTTTTCCAACAGAGATGTTGCAATATGAAATGTTTTGATTTAATCACCCCAAGAAACGCTTTAGTTGCTTTCATGACATCTAAGAAGTCTGTTTACTGCAGAAGAAAACATGTCAGCCTTTGTCATTTAAGCTAAGAACTACCCCTCTGGTTTCACTGCACATTTTGTACCAACATCTCTCTGCCATAAATTGTATTTGAAGATTTTATTTTTTTGTATTTTTGAGTGCATTGCAGTTCAATATTAAATGTAAGTGAAGCTGTGTATTAGTGTTTTTGGTTACAGGGTCAGATCCTAACCTGTTCTGGTTCTAAACTTTCCCTCTCTTTCCTCGCACCAACCCACCTTCCTTCCTGCAGGGCAGTAAAAAGAAGAACCTGAACAAACAGGAGATGTGTAAATACCTGCGCTTCATCGTCCAGCGCATGAAGGAGAGGGTGAGAACAACATTTGCTCTTTTTTTCTTTGTTATCCGCCTTCAGCTCATCAAACCTCTCTATGAGAATTCACCACAGTGTTCATCACATCTTGTAGTGATATAGTTCTTCAGCCTGCCTTCTGATACTTCATGAAATACTTCTAAAGAAGGTTTCCTTTGTCTCAACAATGAAACACATTTGAAACTTACTTTGACTGTAAAAACAGTACTTTCTCCCCTTAAACAGTCTGTGCCTGTGGCCTCTGTTGTGGCCCCAGTAACCCTCACGTTAAGTAGAATGTTCTCTTCATTCTCCCCCCGTTACGCCACCCTTCTTCTGTTTATCCATTATGCAGATTTTGTTTTGTCCGTTCCTCCTTCGGTTCCTCCTCCCCCTCTCAATCCCCTCTCTCATACTCCAACCTCTGCTTAATAAAAGGCTCATTAAATCTCCTCCACCTTTTTCGTTTTCCTCTTCCTGTGTCCCTTCATCCCACCTCTCCCTGTTAAAGTGGTATCAAATCTCATCATTGACTCTCCGTGTTGCCTTCATCCCTGCTTCATTACTCCATGTCCTCCCCCTCACATTCCTCTTCTCTGTAAAGTGGTGTTAAATCATTACCTCTCCTCTACTTTGCAGGCAGTGGACCTGAACAAGAAGGGCAAAGACACTAAACATCCCATGTACAGACGGCTGATCCACACTGCACTGGACGTCTCCAACATCCACGAGGTAACAGTGACACCCAGTGTCATCTTCAACATTCTTCTGCTTTAATATTATTTCACTGTCTCCCTTTTTTGTTGTTGTTTAAGCTTCTTTTCTTCACTTGTACACACACTCCCACATACAAAACATGTAAATCACTAAATGTCAGTGGTTATCTAAGTAAAGCACTGACATACCTCCTGTTACTGGACTCAGATTAATTATATGGGTGTTGTCTTGCACTCCGTTTTGTTTTGTTTTGACTTTTGTGACATTTAATGAATGTTAGCAAGCCTCTATCAAAATGAATTCACACAGCATGGCTCATCACGTCGGGAACATTTCCCAGAGATGTGATTAAGAAGAAGAGGGGCTTTATCACTGAAGCCTCTACCCTTATATTAGTGGGACATGACATAGGGTAATACATAAAACGGTGTGTCTTGTCCATCAGTCACAGACTCGCACTCTCTCCTGTCAGGTTGTTGAAACCATAAGATTCATTTTCTCTGACAGCATTTTTTTTTCCAGACTGTTTTTCAAGCTCATTTGCGAGCAATGTAATTTTTAGCAGTTTGACAGTTTTTTTTCTGGTTCATTTCCACAGTAAAGTTGTCAGGAGACACTATGAACTTGTTTTCAGTTGTCATGAATTTATTTCCTCCATGGTGACAAAAATATGTTGCACCAGCCTTCAGAAAGACTTTTAACTGACTCACTTTGAGAGACTTACTAGTCAGACTGAAAATGGTAGCCCAGCAGCTTTCAACAGCAATATTTGATTTTGTGAACATGCAGTTTGTCTATTGTCCACTTTTCAAACCTAATTTTTAGATAATTTTTTTTTGTGTTTGCGGCCAAATGGCATTAATTACTTCAGTATTGTTAATGGTTAATAAAAGTTGCATTGTTTCCTTCAACCTGAAGGGGTTGAGAAAATGTAAACATTTTGCATAGTTTAGATTTTTTGACTTTTCTACCAGCACCAGTTTTAATATGTATGAGTGTAGTTGATGGAGATTGTGTGTGTGTGCGCGCGCACGTGTGTGTGTAGGGTCAGCAGAACTCGGCTCAAGTCATATTTTATTTGTGCAGCCCAATATCACAAATCACAGCTTTGCGTCAAGGGACTTTGCAATCTGTGCAGCATACGACGTGCTCTGTCCACAGACCTAGAGTCAGATACGGGGGGAAAAAAAAACCCTCTTCAGGGAAGAAATGGAAGAAACCTCAGGAAGAGCAACAGAGAAGGGATCTGTCTCACAGGACAGACAGACAGACACAAAATTCATGTCATGTACAGAATAAATCAACATAACAGATTTATTAGAGTATGGGCAGGAGACAGCTGCATATTGTACCATGCATGATGAACATTGTATAAACAAATAGGAGGAACATGATCCTGGAGGATGAGCTCCTTCCAGTATCCTCCAACAGACCCAAGCAACATGACCTCGCCTCCAGACAAAGACCTGCTAGAAGGAGAGACTGCACAACCACACAGGAGTCAAAACACAGACACAATCATTCACACATGTAGGAGAAGAAAAATTGTACAAAGGGAATGAACAAATATCCAAAATGGAGGAGGCAGGGACACTTTTCTGCTGCACTATGCATCACACCCGGCTTTTGCCAGACACACTGGGCCTCTGCCCAGACCCGAGTGTTAGCGTTATTTGGCACACCGCCATCTCCTGGACCTCTGGCATGTCGCGCACCAAACACTCACACACCCAGCATGTGAATAGACCTCTTTGTACTTGTGCCCTCTCTTTCTGACCAGCCTTCTTTCTCCTTTTTTATATTTGTCTCTCTCTCTCAGAACCTGTCTGAAGGAAAGTATAAAAGCTTTGAGGAGTTCAAAGCAGATGCTCAGCTGATTGTTCATAACACCGCCATCTTGTATGGAGGTGGGTCAAAGTTGTACAGCTTCCAATATGGCATTTGAGTGTGGCAGGAATATTTAAATAAATGTTTTTTTCCTCTTTAATACGAATAGATTCTAATAAGTCAGAAGGAAATAGGTTTTAGTTTAATGCTCGGAATTGTGCATGGAAGGTCACAGGAAAGTCACAAATTACCATTACTACATTTGATTTATTTATTTATCCACCACTACAAATTTGTCCATGCCATGGTGAAGATGTTTCTTAAAATGTAAAGTGAAACCTGCCGAAAACGGTTCTTTTATAGTCCCAGAACCAAAACTGGGATTCAGAACTAAACGATATAAAATATTGTAATACAGGATGTAACTGCTGTCTCTGTCAAGCAAAAGGCTTAAACAGGATCCAGCTTGTGGTCAGGATTTCCTTCTTTAACACTTACAACAGTCCGATGTGTTATCGATGTGAGTAGTTCATGAAGCCTTGAAGTCAAAAATGTTGTTGCTGTTATAAAATGTAAATGAGGGGCTTTCTTTTCAACATAAAGGTGTTCCACATAACCCTTGATTTAAGGCGACTGCTTCTTGTTGATTTTCTTGCTGAGTGTTGTCTGTTGTCTGTTGTAGTTCACAGCGATCAGGCAGAGATCGCACGGCTGCTCTTCAGTGACACATGCCATGAGGTAAAGTTGTTTTGTTTTTTCCACAGTTAAGAGTAGTGAAATTTAGCTTGTAGTTATTTATGGACCTTGTTAGTATGTCTTGTTTTTGCAGATTTGTTCAAAAGGTAATCAGCAGTTCTTGTACATGGAACTTTTCTTACCTTCCCTCAATCCTTATTGTTTCTCCTTCCAGTTGAATGAATTGTTGCTGTGTAAGAACTGTTTCTACCTGTCGAACGCCCGACCAGACAACTGGTTCTGTTATCCCTGTGTGAGTAACCAGAGCCACTGCACCAGAGACGTCAGCTTCTCACAAACACTGTTTTTGTAAACACATTTTGACTTTGGTGTTTTTAACAGCAGAAGCATTTATGTAATTGTTACTCTTGGTAACAGCTGTATGATGCACTTGTATGGTTTTTGTTAACCGCGAGCTGGCTTGATTTGAGACAGTGGAGTAAAACCGCACTGGCGCGGCCCATTTAATGTCAGGTGTGTTTGCAGTCCGTTATCAGTGTTGACAAGACATTTTTAAGGCATCTTCTTGGATTTTGTGAAACTGTTGTTGACTTTCTTAAACTTTTTATTTTATTTTATTTTTGACAGTTTTTAGAATAATATGATCGATTAATTAAGTAAACAATTTACAGGTTAAATGAGAGAAAATAATGTCACAGCTGTAGTCAGCATACAGTATATATACAAAAACCAAACAAACTTTAGCAAATAGTTCTGTCATATTAAATTTAATTTTGGTATAAAAGGCAGCTCACTGTAAAAACAGTGGCTGATTGTTGCTTGTTAGCGCTGCCACCACTTGGTCGTGTCTAACAGGCGTTTGTGTGCTACTGCTCAGAGCCCCAGTCACGACTTAGTCTGGGCCAAGATGAAGGGGTTTGGCTACTGGCCTGCCAAAGTCCTTCAGAGGGAGGACAACCAGGTGGATGTACGCTTCTTTGGACATCAACACCAGAGGTTAGCAGTACAGAGCACCACGTTTCTGTTTGATTAGATTATTAGCACCGAGTTTAGGCTGCTGGTGTTTCTTAATGGTGCAGTGCGGCTTTGTAAATCTCAGGCATTACTGTCTCCCCCAGAGCATGGATCCCCTCAGAGAACATCCAGGACATCAAGGTGAGTGTCCAGCAGCTGCAGGTGAAGCGCAGCAACGGCTGGAAGAAGGCGTGTGAGGAGCTGGAGGTCTACCAGCGCTTCCTGAGGGAGGGGCGCTTCTGGAAAACAAAGATGGAGGAGGGCAGCCCCCCACACCAGCATCACCAGCAGAGCCAGAGCCAGCGGCAGGAGGAAGGCAGCAGCAGGACGGACAGACTGGAGCGCACAGACGAGGCAGAGTCCAGCATCTCCTCCACCAGCAACGAGCAGGTCCGACATGTAAGTGGGGTCGACAGATATGGTGATATGTTTCTCAGATTGTCAGCCGTTTCACATTTAAATTGGATTTAATTTGAGAGTCAAGAGTCGTACAGCAATAAAGACACTGAACCCTCTTTGTTGTTGTTTCCTGGTGTAAAATTAGTTCCCACTTTAGCTCCTGTCCTTCCAGACAGTTACCTGGCTAAAAGGAGCTAAATTTCCCCTTTGACTAAATACCTCCAGACACTAAGGAACCTCAGGGAATGTGTCTCTTTTTGTGTGTTCACTCTGAATGTCCGACACATCACATGGCCATGAAGATTAGGGAAATCAGACAGGCGGAATCCTCCCTAGTGACACCCAGGACTTGCATATTGTGCAACTGAGGTCGTGCACAAGCTGCAGCGGTCTTGAGGGTTTAAGTATGTTGTGCTGGACGTTGCTGACTGGTCAGACTTTGCCCTAGTTTTTACGGGGCCAAGCATGACCCCCTAAAATGGTTCCTGACCCCCGGTATAGATTCTGCAGTGGAAGCACACAGTCGCTCCACAACATCTGTTTAAAAGCAACAAGCTACCTAGGACCTAATCTGGCCGTAGTCAGAGATCTGTTGCTGTTGGATCAGACTTCCAGAGACCCTTTAAAGAAGCAGCCTCAAAACTTTACTACTTCTTCCAATAATAACTATCATCTCTTTCATGTTTGCTTGTTGGGTGATTGGATGTTACTGCCTCTACTTAATGTCTTGTCCTTATTAATGTGATGTTTCATTTTCATAGTGTTTGAATTGTGCTATAGAAACGTTGCCTCTCTTCTAAAATCCCTTTCAGAAACAGAAAAGTTGGGGAAAAAAAAATCAGTTTTCAAATTCTTGCTACTGAACTTAGCCTTTTCTGATATCTTGGTTTTATTTCTCTCTGCACTTTCACTGTTCTTTGCTTCTGAGCCTTGATAACACCAGTTTGAGCTTCCTCTGAGGCTGTCGCTGCTTCCATTGCATGTCTCTCAGGCCTCTAAATATAAAGTTGAATCTACCTCAGATTCACACTAAACCTGCAGGTTGTTTGGTGTGAAACTTGTCTGAACCAACATTGTTACATTACAGCAAACTGAAAAAAAAAAAAAAAAAAAAGATGCTAAGACAACACAAAAACAGCAATGTTAAACCGAAGTCGATGGATAATCTGACAATAGTAGAACATAAACAGCACCATCTGGTGACTAAACAGCCACATTGTTCTCAATTTTATTTCACTTTCAACATGATAGTACCACTATTATGATCAAACTACCAAAGTACAGTAATAGTCCACAGTACATGTGTTTATGGTGGTGACCTCGGTGCTGAAACCAGTGATTTCTTGTTAACACTGGTAAGAGCAACATTATTATAAAGGTTTGGAGGAGAGTTACACAAAACGAAAGGCTCCCCATATCAGAGTCTGAGGCCACTCTGAAAAGTTCTTGTTTTTAATTTGAGCAGCAGGTGTTTTGTTATTTCAGAATTTCCTGTTGCTTTAATCTCTTAAAATCAGCAACTGAACAAAAACACTAACCTGAAAAAAAAAGATTTGTAGCATTTGGCTGTGAAGGAAATTTTAAATTCTTTAAATCAGTCCCTCTTTCACTGTTGATTTCCCTGAACAATAGATTTAAAAAGAATTTTCCCAATTTTTTTTACACTTTTGAAAAATATAGCAGCAATTTATTTTATAACTGTTATTTAAAAACAGTTCACATTTGGTGGTGTATGTGTTTTAGAAGGTCATAGAAAATGGTTTTGATGATTGTCCATACAGCACATAACCTGTCTATATTGCTAGAACACTGACATATTCATCATAGTTCACACTTTTCTTTTCCCCTGCAGCTCAAAAGCAGCCAGGAACCCAAGGCAAAGAAAAGCCGTCGAACTCCATCGGTTGAGCCCAAAGAGGAAGTCGGTGTAAGTCGGGTTGTCAAACATCAGAATGTGGCCTCAAAAACTGCATTTGTTAGCAGTGGGATAAAAGCATAATCTCCTCTGGCTGATAATCAGCTGGGACGATATGAGCTAATTGCCAGTGTACAAAGGTTTGGGCAGTCCTGAGCAACAGATATTGTTTTGTCTGGCAAAACAGGCAATAGAAAATGAGTCTTTCTTTAGGTATTAATGCATCATTACTATTTGCTTTAGGAACTTGGAAAATAGAAAAATGAATGGTGGCAACGGTTAAGCACGGGAAACATTGCACAGATGGAGGAATGGATCCCAGTATCAGAAAATGCTGGATGTAAATGTCCTGCAGTCGGTCAAGAATTGTTGTGCCTTTCCAAAGCCAGAGAAAAATAACTTAAATTGGGTGGAGTTAAGATGCATTAATCTGAGTTCTAATGGGAGCTGGCAGATGGCAAAACGTAAATTAATTCTTTTCACTATCACTTTTAGCATAGGCAGTAAATGTACTTTTTGCCATCTGAAGAGCCTCTTTGCTGCTTTGTTGGTGTGTGGGTACTTTTTCTGTATGTTGGAGGCTGAAAGTGAAAAGGGCCTGGCTTCTACACCAGGACAATGATCAGAACAGCCCTCAAAAACCACTATGAACTCCTTTAAGAAACACAAGCTGAAGCTTTTGGAACGGGCCTCACAGTCTCCTGACCCGAGCTGGTTTTCATGGTTGGAATGCCAAGTTATGTTTTGAATAACGTCGGCAGATCCTAAACCTGCTGAGTGCACAGTAGCCTGAAATGTACATCAGAAGAATGGGTGAGAATGACCAAATCCAGTTGTCTGCAAAATGCTGGTTTCTTCAAGTGACTTGTGATGGTAATTAAAAACAAAATTGCATCAGTGTTACAATTAATTTAGCATGAGCGGTTTTTGTTTCATATTACTTTCAAAGACACCAGAAAGCGTGGGTTTTTGGTGTGACTACCAGTTTATGCTTCAGTGACATTTTATTTAAGCCTTTGTTTCTTCCCATCTCCACCAGGAGCCAGAGCCTGAGATGGAGGCAGTCAGCTCAAGTCAGGAGATCCCAGTGTCCTCGGCGCCCCAGCAGCCTGAGAAGCTGTCTGTGTCCACGCAGACCAAGAAGGCGAGCGGAGGGTCTCCACGCACGCTGCACCGTGGCACCCAGACCAGCAGCGACGGGGCCTGCCAGAACATGTGCCATGAGAAATACACCAAGGTCTTCAATGATGTCAAGGAGATGATGAAGGCTGACAACAAGAGAGAGACAGAGAGGGTCGTCCGAGAGGCTCTGGAGAAGGTCTGTTTCTAGAGAGGGGGTGTGCTTCAAGAACGAGTTACACTTCTATCCTGGAATATTTGAAGGGTTAAAGCCGCATTAACTAAGATTTCACACAGCTAAAAGTCTGACCCAGCGACTGCCAGAGTGAAGAAGTGGCGTCTTATGCACAGAGAGAGTGAGACAAAGAAAGAGCAACAACCAGGGTTAACATGGGTTTGGCTGTTTGACATGGAGAGGGTTAAAAGCAGCCAGAGGACTCAGACTGGATTCAGATGTGGTATTCTTCCTTCTGAATGTGTTAGCATCTAAAGCTAACCTAGTTGTTTTGGTAGCATTAGCCACCTAGCATGGTCAGGATTTTACCTTTGTGTTGAGTTAATATGATTTTGATTTGTGAGTAAATTGAGCTTTGTGTAACCAGAGTGCAAAACCCCGTCTGTCGTCTCTATCTGTGCCTTCAGCTCCGTGCAGAGATGGAGGAGGAGAAGCGCCAGGCGGTGAGTAAGGCGGTGGCTGGCGCTCAGGCGGAGATGGAGAGGAAGTGTAAGCAGGTGAAGGAGAAGTGTAAAGAGGAGCTGGTGGAGGAGGTGAAGAAGCTGGTGGCTCAACACAAACAGCTCATCTCCCAGACCAAGAAGAAGCAGTGGGTGAGTTGTGGAACAGGTGGCTGCAGCGCTGGGTCAGCAGACGGTTCCTGTAACTTAGTTCATCAGGGCATGTCTGACTTCTGTCTCCTAGTCAAAATTAGACTATAATGAACCAATGCTCAGAAATAGAACAGGCTTTATTTTTAAAATACTGCGTTATCTTTATATTGTTTTCAGTTGAGTCACTGTGTTTTTCTGGTGTGTTTTTTCTGAGCGGCACCTGAAGTGTGACGTGTCTTTGTCTGTGTTGTTCTCAGTGTTACAACTGTGAGGAGGAGGCCATGTACCACTGCTGCTGGAACACCTCATACTGCTCCATCAAGTGTCAGCAGGAGCACTGGCACGCCGACCACAAACGGACCTGCCGCAGGAAGAGATGAACAAGCCCCGCCCCCGGTGACCTTACACAGCATGCCATTGGCTCTTGCCCTCTCCTCCCTCTGTCAGTCAGTCAGCACACACACCTCCCTCCTGCTTCTCTACTTGCCTTCCTGAAAACTTTGTGGACCCAATGTTTTCTGTGAGAAAAGAGCAGTTTCCTCCCCTTTTTTTGTCATTTAATTATTTAATGTACCCATTGTATTGATTTTTTTTCTATATTTTATTTTTTTATCCGAGTTGTGAACAGACTGCCTGAGAGCATGGTTCAAATGCAGAATTTTCTTCTCTTCACTGAAGCGCTAATCTGAACTGTTCAGAATGTGGTATATTTAAGTGTGTTGTCACAGATGAGCATTAGCTGAAAACATTTTATTACCTGAAGTTTTTAAAGAAACATTTTTTTTACTGTAAATGCAACAAATACACACAGTCGATCTTACAGAATGAAAACACACCGTGTACGCTATTGCAGCTTCGGACTAGCTCTGCTTTCATAGAGAAACCTATTTTAAAAAATGACAAACTGCGTAAGATGAAACGAGGATGACGTGGCTCACGGACGTTAAGCTCTTGTTTTTCATGAAGCTGTTGTGGAAGATGGCACCTTTTATCATTTCTACCTAAAATCTGAAGTCTTATTGGGAACAGGGTCATGAGGTCGGCCTTAAAAGATGCCGACAGAACAAATCTTCCATGTATTAATGTTATTTTAGTTATTATGTGCATTTTTTGGATTTTTTTTAATAGAAAATTTTTTTATGAGTTGGATTTAAAAAAAAAAGTTTTCATTTGTATTAAATTGGAGAAACGCATAGCAGCCTTTCCTGAGCTGGGTCTTTGACAGTTTTACACCTTTTTGCACGTTTTGTTTCCTCGGCAACAAAAATGCTTGTAATATTGCCAAAAAATTGGACGTCTATTGAACCTTGCCAGGGAGATCTGGTGAGCTCTCCCTCCCCTTTTTCCTATAATCTTAACAACATGTAAATCTCTCCGGACGTCGTCTGTGTCATTTTTCTAAAGATGTACACTCTTCCTGTTCTTTTTTTAGCTACGAGATGTTCACTGCTTATGCTGTAGTTGGTGGTCAGTGCCTGTTTTTCTTTTCTCATCCTCTTACTCCCAGTGAGGCTACGTGCATGTTGATAGCTTCAAAGTTGGTCTGTTTTCAGTCATTACGATAAAAGAATAGAAGACCAGGCGTTCTGCTGTCTGATCAGCGATGACGGATGGACCAATATAAAACTTTATGCAAACTAAACGATCAAATGAATCTTATCTATAGTTTTTATCCCTGCGCTGGATGTCAAGTATTGATAGTGTATAAATACAGCGGTTGGGATCTTTGTTTCTTTGAAATGGCAATGAAATTGCCAGTTGTCTGTTTTCTTGGAGAAGTGTGACGCTTTCCTCAGTTATGAAGATTAACTGAACAGAGGAAAAGAATTGACTCTGTGTACATGCACCGGTTTTATTTTCAGTCGGTGCTTATGTTAACGTGGTAAATAAGATACCGTAAATTCTCTTCTAGTGGGCAGGGCCTTAACATCGGGCTTTAATGAAAGATGGGCTTGTGTTTGTGATACACCAGATTTGATCCTGTTTTTTGTTAAAGTCTGTCACTTCCTGTTGCTTTGAATGAGAACCCAGCACAGGTGGTACGCTGTGCACCGACTCCATACCACTTACTGAGTGTGTACGTTTGTGGTGGATGTTTCTTGCTGTTACTTTACAAGAAGTCCAGTCACGTCTGTCAAACAGACACTTTGAGAACCTGACAAAGGCAAAACTAAATGTTTTTAACCATTAATATTTAATTGTTTTAAAATCCTCCTGTAGACAGTTCTCTTACACTCTTACACTCTCATACTCCATACTAACTGAATACAGTATGTACTATGTACTAATGTCAGGCTACAGTTTTTGCAGTTACTATACAAGAACTCAACTTGTTTTACACCAACAGGAAGTCAGATATCATTCATGCTGTGACTGTGGAATGCCACAAGTTTTAACGTGAGGAGCTGGAGACAGAGCTGTGATCTCTACCTTTAACCTGGAGGGCTTTTATTGTGAAATATGTGCAGATGTTGCTTCATTAACTGCAGTTTAAAGGCTAAAGCTGTTTTGTTTTTGAAGCCTCATTCAGTTCCTGCTCAGTGTAGGTTTTAGTCGAGCAAAGAGGAGGAAACGTATTTCTGGAGACTGATCAAATCAAATCAAATTTTATTTATATAGCGCCAAATCACAACAAAAGTCATCTCAGGACACTTTATAAAGTAAGGTCTAGACCTTACTGATGAAGCCACATCTTGTCTCTAGTGAGCATTTGTGGCAGCAGGACAGTGGGACTGAGTCACAGTAAACTACAGTGTGTGTGTGTGTGTGTGTGTTCATATCACCCGGTGCAACAGTGTAGTCACTGATGGACATGGAGCCGTTGCCCAAAGGGTTTGGATACACACATCATGGTTTGGTCTTTTTATGGGATTTATTGACTTTGTTTGAGAAGGGTCCACTATTACAGAATTTACGGTAACTGTAGTTGCAGACTTCATCTCTATTTCTTTGGGAACTCGTGTGAGTGAATCACTTCACGATGTAACATGTTGTACAGTTCAGCTACTTTATATCCCGTGTGCTGCGGCCGGTCATTTATTCTTCCTGTTCTCGTTAACGTTTAATTTCTGGTCCGAGTCGTGTTGTGGCAGCGCTCTGCAGGCTTTTTCATCATCATTGCACTACATGTAAATAAACCGTCCTGTCAGTATCTCCTCCTCCACATTACATTGTACATGAATCCACAGGTATTAGAGTTCAGCTGTTTTTCTTCTGGATGACTGTTTTGTACAATGTACAACCGTCCTCACATCAGCTCCGTTACCCTGATTTTCCTCTGTGCGTTTCAGGTTTGGTTGTTTTAAAATATTGTTTACTGTTGTTAACAAGGTGAACCACGCAGCATCTCCAGTGTGTCCGAACATTTCAGTGTTCACCAGCCAGTAAATGCGTGTTCAGTCAAATGGACACACTGTACATGTGACCTGCGAGGCTGCTGCTTCTCTTCTCAACTGTTTTTATCTCACCGTTTTTATATTCGTCCATCCAGCCGTAAAGGTTTGTGTGAAGTTTTTTTTTTTCCCTATGTGGAAGAAAATTTTGTCATTCCAGTTTGTGTCTTTAAGTGCATGAGTAAGGTTGTGTGTATATCTCCAGCTCCTTTTGTCCCCCCCCCCCAATAAAAAGACATGGTCGCTCTCCCTCAGAGTGTTGCAATATGACTCACTGTTTGTTTTCTACTTAAATGGAACTTTAAGCTCCATCAGTCATGTTGTCACCCATAACCAGCCCTCACTGCTCTTATTCCAGAGTATTTTAGTACACAATACTATGTGAGTACTAGTTCTGCTTCTAGGTCTGAGAGTATTTATGTACTTCACGCTGGAATAAAACCAGTACACTTCCTTTGTTCCCACCTTCTGTAGCTCATGTACTTCTGTTCTGTCAATATGTAAACTATTAATCGTGACTTAACATTTTCTATGCTCTACCTTTTTTTGATGCTTTAGCTAGCAATATGTACATAAATATATTCTATGTGCTAACATGGAGACAATAAATGTATCAACAATTTAATGTGGTTCCATTTTTTTGTTGCTTTGATGGTTGTTATAAAAATGGAGTGAAATGACCAGCGGTGGCACCGTGGAGGTGAGTGGTGCTTGAGGCAACGAAAAGCTTCACAGCATCAAGTCTTTCTAGTAGCGACGCTCCAGTTAATGTGGATGATGGACAAGTGGAACTTATTTCTATCAGAGAAATATAGTTTCTACAGAAATTGCTGACAGATGTAACTGAGAGAACGTTTCTGGAAAGACTGCTGAGGTTTGAAAATCTCAGAATCTGGAGAGGGGAAAAGCCAAAGCCATCTGTGTGTTAAGACAAACTCTGACAGGTAAGACACATTTTATTCTTTTTTCACTTGTGGCTGTAGCAAAGCCTTATGGGAGCTGTAGGTGTTATGCAAATTATTTTTGTTAAATGATGCTCAAAGTGTTGATCACAGTAATTATTGACAGGAAAACAGTTTAGAAGAAGGCTGTATCACAACATAGTGATTTTCCGATGCCTCTAATCTCTGCACAAGTTTGGCATTGCTCTGTATCTTTCCCAAAAAAGATCCAAAACAACAGTGATTCTATCTTAAGTTTAGTGTGTGCGTGTATCCAAAGTCTGACATAGCCGTCTTATTCATCTCTGTCACAGAGCTGGTTGGCAATAACAAAAGTATTGATAACAAAAGTATTGATTAATGCCAGACTGCTGCTTCTAACTGGTTCCAGTTAGTTATGGAAGAAAAGGTTTTTAGTTTGCTGGAATAAAAGCAGGATCTCGACTATAATAACTGTAAATACTGTCAAAGTTGTGTCTCTACTGTTTTTCAGATGTTTTTAAACCATTTTCTCATTCAGAATTTTATTCTACCGCACAATCTTATTTCAGCCAAACATCAAAAACAACTTTAAAACTGAACAAAATTATGCATTTACTGTCTGACAAATAGAGGAAAGTAGCAAATCCTCACATTAAGAGAAGCCTGAACCAGATTCTGTGCTGGATCGTTACCTTAACCCTTATGAGTTCCTGACAAAAAAAAAAAAAATCAGACAATTGTCCCTAGAACCAAAATCTGCCACATTCCCAAACACAGCTATAAAATTATTATAAATTCATACTACATATCAAATATGAATTTTTAACCCTTTATGCCATATTTATCCTACAATAAAGCAATGCACCGTGCTCTGTTCCTAATGCATTTTGAAGTAGTTGGTCCCAACTTGTAATTCTGATACTCATCCACCAGATGGTGACATGATTCCATTTTCGAAGCCTGCAGCCAAAACAAAACCAAAAAGCACTTTTACACTGTTTTTTGCAAGGCTGACTTACTAATAATGAATAGATTTGATGAAGTGCATATCAGTTTTGATGTTATATTGATCCCGTGTAGGTCTCTGTGTGTGTGTGTGTGTGTGTGTGTGTGTGTGTGTGTTCATAATAGTTCATATAACAAAGAGTGTGACTTTCTAATAGAAAAGAGTTGTGAATTTGGACACACACAGACATATTTGGTTCATTTTATGTTGCTAGAACAGATTGCATGCACGCATGCAAACACATGAGAATTCGCACACACACAGACCTACACTGGATTAATATAACATCAAAGCTGATATGCACATTATCAAATCCATTTATTATTAGCAAGTCAGCTTTGCAAAAAACTGGAAAAGGTGCATTTTGGTTTCTTTTTGGCTGCAGGCTTAGAAAATGGAATCATGTCACCATCTGGTGGATGACTATCAGAATTACAAGGTAAATTTAAGGAAGTTAGACCACAATTTTTAAAAAATAAATATCCTGTGCCAAATTTGAGCTACATTCATTCAACACAGCCAAACTGACTTGAAAATGAAAACTGAAATGGCAGGTTTTGGTTCTAGGGTCTATAGAGGGTTAAACTATTAATCATCAGACACTGGTATTTGCCTCTTAATTATTCTTAAACCAATCAACCGACCGGTCGTTTAACCTCTGGTCCTTTTTAGTGCAGATATTGATAGTTTTCTCCCCCGTTGTACAGAATAGGTATAAAATACCATCGTTATTTGAGAACATTTTAAATCGATGTTTAATAAATGGTTTATAACGCACTATGAGGACACTTAAGTGTTTGAGTCCTATTTGTCAACAATTAGTTTCTCCTGTGAGGACATAATTTGTGTTATTACAACATGTTTCACTGTCATTAAAAACCTTTTTGTACATCAGCCAGTAATGGCTGCCCACAGGAAGAGTTGGCTGTTGACAAATACATTTTATTTTAACTACATGAGTTAGAAGCCATTTATTAAATGTTTTTAATTACTGTTTGTAAATGTTCCCCTTTAACAAACTAGACCTCACTTAAAAATAAAGTGCAATTTTGAGCCCAGACATATTCTGAAGTTCTTCAGAATTTGCCAAAAATTCATGAAATTTTCCATCAGGGACATTCTGGGAACTGTTGTTGCAGTCTAACGCTGTATAAAGATAAATGGAATGAAACAGATTCCCAAACATAAATGTTTATTTGTAATACAATTTCCCAAAGAATGACTCACTTTTACTGAAAGACAAATGTCAACTCAAATAAGACAGTTTAAAAAAATTGACCTGGGAGACACATTTAGCTGATAAATGAATTAAAACAGTGAAGAAAGTCCTTTTTACTTCATAAAGAAATCCCCAACTTACAAGAAATGTCAACTTCAACTCGTTTCACAGGCTGAAGGTCATATTAATCTGACCTTTGACCTCTCCACAGCTTGGTGGAGATAAACGGTCGGAGGGGCTTCGCCTTCTGCTTCCTGTTTGTCATTGTTCCTGTTGCGACGTCACTGTAATGAGTCCTGATTGATATCTCTGTGTAAAAATATGGACTTCTATAACGGTAGTGACTGCTTACATAACGTTTCGGGGACACCCGAAGGTGTTTCCCAGCCAGTGGTGTTCAAAAAAAAAAAAGTCCAGTACTGCTGTCAGTCAGTTTGAACTGAGGAGTTTCATTCCAGGTAAAGTATGGAAAATTACGGAAAAATGGCTGTCTGCAGGACACCTTAATTATAACACAAAAAAAACTTATTCCCTAATGTGATATATGAAGAGTTCTGATCCAAAATCGGGTGTCCTCAGTGTTAGAAATGTAACACCAACTACAGTTCAACAAACTTCTCTTATGCCTGTTTTTCCAAGGGCAGTGTTGCTGTAATTCCCCCCATGTTGCCACCAGAGGTCAGCAAGTGTCCTGAAACAGCTAATGTGTAAAGGATGTGAGAGAGCTGAGCTACAAACAAAGGTAACGTTTGTTTTACTCAGCATAAGAAGTGTCTGAGCTCTAACATAAAATATTATAATAGATGTACTATTTGATAATCAGCATTGTTTACTTGCTTGTAGTCCTTTTCGCTGCCTTCAGTGGCGTTTTATGCACTTTGCAGCTACTTAGTGAAATCCTGTGAAACTAGCTGCATGAAATGATGTGAGGAGCAACTTGTAAAAACACTGCTCCCACAGGGCACCTTGAACAAACTCTATAAGGACTCTAATATTGCAGTTGTCAGCAGTTCATCAAAAATCTATTTTAAAAAAATTATAAAGCTGCTGTCCTTCACAAGAAAAGGACAAATTAAGCAATTTTTGGTGTATTATCGGGGCAATTAAATTATTCAGCATGCAATTAGTAATTTAAAGAAATTAGTTCTCATTTATAGCATAAATTGTTTTAGAAAAAAAAAAACATAAGGACATTGAAAGAAAAGCAAATGCAGACTTCAGTCCAATAAAAAGTGGTTTATTCAGTTCTTGGAACTCTTCATTTGGAAACTTTAGACAGTGTGGATAAAAAGCATCGTCTCAATAAGCATCCATTAGGGACAACTCCTTTTAACTCCCGTTTTCATATAATCTATTAATCATATATTTCTGTTTTCCATAATATGCTTGATTTTGACAACATAATGTTTTTAATAGTAGCAAATATTCAAGAGCAAAACTTTCTTGAACGTCTCGTCATATACTTCTAAAAGAGAAAAAATAAATTAAATCAGGTTCTTTTTGTACATACTTACATGATATGGATTTATGTATTGTTTCGCTTCAGTCGAAGCATTTTTTTACGGAAAAATAAAGAGTTAAAGGTTGCAGCTGTTTATGAAAAGTGGGACAGACTTTTCCGTAAAGAATGCTGAATACAAAAAAAGCTAAGGTGAAAAGTGTTTGGTACCTCCTCATAAACTTGGACACATCCGCCCTCTTCGACCCCGTCCACATATCAAAACCTATCTCGCTGTTTGTAATTGTTGATATCGTAAAAACGTAAATATCCCTTCTCCCATTTCTGTGTAAATATCCTTTTCAAAAAAATAGCCTACATCTTTTTGAGGACGTTAAAAAGCAAACGTAAATCAAAGCAACTTCAGCAAATACTAACCATAGTGCGAGCCACACATAGTTTCAAAGGCCAGAATCTTTACGATTGTCCTCCTCTGCCTGAGACACACGATTGCCACTTTTAGGTAAACAGTGCTACTTTTTACCCTGGACTGAGGGCTTTAGGTCCTCTCAGGCTGAGTAGGAATCCCATCTCCTCCAAACTGAAACCGTGGCCTTAACACTGGCCTTTGGCTTGTTAGATTCTGGGAGAGAGTGGACGTACTGAGCCTGAGAGACATAATTCAGGGCAAAAAAGTCAACCACATTCTATCCATGTGCCTTAAGCGTAGACTGGTTTTTCTTTTCATTATCAGGACCAGACCGTCTTTGCATCCTCCTAAACATTCCTCCATCCACCTTTGTATCAACCTCCAGGGGGCGCTACATGTTGTAGGCAACGTAGATTGGGTCCAGTTGGTCGGCCAGGAAACCGTCACGCAGGTGCATGCGCTGCTTCTCGCCACGGGAGTTGATGGGGATGACGCCGATGTCGACTACCACCACCACGCCCACGATCAGGTAGTGCTCCTCCAGCACCACGTTGGTAACTAGAGGGACCAGGTCCAGGGCCTCCTGCTCCGAGCCGTCCAGCTCCACCACCACCACCAGCAGGTTGGTCCATGTGAACACAGCGCTGGCAGCACAAAGAGTTGGGTTAATTTTTTGCAGCTTCTTAAATAAGCCACTTTGCTTTTAGTCTCTGGATGGGATTTGTGCAAAATCACCGACATGATCCTTTAAGGGAATGAAAAAGCTCCCATTGAAGGGTAAGGCCAGTCATCTTCTATTAGTACGCTCAGCAGCCACTTTATTAGGTACATCTGTATGCACCTTAACATCTGTGTTTCTGAAACTCCAAATGTTTCAGTTTTTGGTGGAATTGTCATAAAATCAATTATGGTTATTAAAAGTGGTGTTGTACTGGACTACATTATATTCAGAGGTGTGTCTATATTTTTATCCTCCCCAGTTACATGAGGGTCAGAATATTAGGAACACCTCTGAATATAATGTAGTCCAGTACAACACCACCTTTAACTGTGACCTCAATAATAAACATAGAATTGAATTTTTACATTTGGCAATTTCACCACAAACAAACTTGTTGAGCTTCATACAGATGTTAAGGTGGAAGTTCTGCATTGAACTGCATACAGGTGTACCTAATAAAGTGGTGCGTGAGTGTAATTTTCAGCATGCCCCATACAGAGACTGTAACTGACAATGAATTTCCTGCATCAGTTGTCCGTCTGTGCCGTTTATTTAAAAATGATTAAAAGCCCATCAGCAAAACATGCCACTGTGCTGGGCGACATGTTTCCTCATTACGAAGCAGCAGACTGTGATTTTTGTTAAGAATATCCAGAGATCTGGTGTTTTGTACAAGGTGACGTTGCCCAGCACAGCGTTTCATTGAACAACAATGGAGATCTATGGTGCAGACGAACAAACATCGAGTTGAGGCAAATCCCTGCTGGTTTTTAGTCTGTTAAAAATATTGTTCAAATAGAAGAGGACCTGCCTTTAACTTTGGTTATTTGAACCTGCTGTATTTCCCCTAAAGGTTTGTATGGGGACTTGATAGCTAGTGTTAATTTCACTATCACTACCCCTGCAGTAAATGAATGGCGTCACTGGGACAACCGGCCAGCCTGTTCCCCTGTCAAGATGTGTGGCCCTGAAACAGTTTTAACAGGGGGAGCAGATCTTGACATGAGACCAGCTGACCGTGCAGGTCGCCCCTGACGTATATTCCAGTGCAGTCGGCTGTAGTGGCTGGCCCAGACATCTGAGTCAACCAGCTCCAAGATTCAGACATAAGAAATTATTTGACTGAACTCGTATTTATTCTGAGCTCTCTGAGGCTGACTGGTTGCCCTGGTGATGCCATTTAACCCAAGTTCTCGTTCCCCCAGAGCTCTAGACAGAGGCAGTGACAGCAAGATTAGCACTAGCTATAGAGTCAGCTAAACTGACTTCTTGTCTTACCTCTTCTCCAGTGCAGCCAAACAAGGAGAGGCTGTGTGACTCTGGAAGACACCGTGACTTGTCTAACTCAGAAGCCTCATATTAATTAACCAGAACAAGGACCATGGTTCCATCTGTTACAATGGACCCGTAGGAAGTTTTGTAGCAACTAAGACATATGCAACATTTGGATGGAAACAAACTGTCAAAGTTTGTGTGGTAATGAGGTGGTGCAGAGGCATCAGTGTCTGTGTGTCACATTCCTCACCACTCTGTGATGCTCTTGTGTGTCCTGATGACGGACGTCTCGATGTCGATGGGGTGGTAACGCATCCCTCTCAGCTCCATAGCTTCCTCCAGAGCGCCAACCACGTACAGGGCATCATGCCGCTCTACACACACACACACACACACACAAACAGGTCAGAGCCGTTTTCCAACAATATTCTCTCTTCTTGTTGAGATATTTCTGACGTGTTAGTTGAATTTTTCTTTGTCCTGATTTAAGTTGACTGTCCTGTAACATAAACCTTTTTCCTGGTGAATAAAACGGAATAAATAACCTGAAAACCAATGACACGTTTGAAGTAGATTGTGTTTGTTACTAACAAGATGGCGCCTGCAATTTTCTCAATAAACCCTAGTTTAAGGTTAAAGAATAATTACGATTGAAGCAGATGCAGCTGGCCCACACTGACAATCAGCCCCTTTTTGTTTTCACGCTTTCTAAAACCTTAAGTGTAAATCACTATTTGGTTGGAAACTTCTCACTGTTGCTGAATTGACCAGATGGCTTTGACTCTGAACTCTCCGTCCTCACAGTGATGAACAGGTACGACTACCGGTCAACAGTTTGGGGTGACCTCCATTTTCCAGTTATCAGTGTAACCCGACAGGTGAACACACCCCTGTCGTTCTTTTTGCAGCTGAACTCAAACATAGCTGGGGCACTGCACTGCTGCAGATGTTCTCCCAGATGTGCTGCACTTGTAGGATCAAACCCTGGGAAGCTTTGATTTCCTCTGTTGATGGCCTTTTTCCAAATGAAATTTCCAAAGGAGATTTACATGCAGTTTTAGTTTTGGTGACTTGTTCACTGGGGTTGAACTGAATAAAGTTGGCAGAAAGTGGCAAATGGAGATGACGACGACCCAACCCGACCCCCTCCCCCGGGGTCAGATTTAGCCTAATCATTTCTCCCGCCGACCTCTGTCACAAGAGAACATAAGCCCCTTTACCTCCGCTGGCGTCGGTGAGTTCGGTCCTGCGCAGGAAGCCCAGGTACCCGGTCCGAGCCCAGATGGTTTGTGTGTCTCCGAAGCTGAGCCTGGAGTTGAAATGGTCTGACTGCAGCACCTCGTCCCCGTAGACGGTGAAGTAACCGCTGGCGTTGTGGCCGCTGTGCACCCAGATCTACAAACACACAGCGTTAGTGGAGCTACAGTCACAGTCCTGCTCTAGGTTCACTGCTACAATACCACCCCACTACTGCAGAGAGCCAGTGGGGGAAACTACAAAAAGGACATTTGGGGGAAACATGATTGATCGAATTTAATTTTCAATTGATCAGCAATTTTCTATAGAGAGATGATTTTAGAGATTTTGTCTTGTTTTTAACGACACATTGGAAGACTGGAGAAACAGGAACCTGCAAGGGTTTTATTTAAAACACTGATTAAAGGATTAAATCTGTTTAAAATGTTGTACTTGTCTGTCAAGCTACAAAATCAGTCCTGAGTAAGATGTTTTGCCTATTGTAACATGTTGGGTTATAACTGTATACTTTTACTTTCTGAAACATTAAGAACATTTTTCTAAATACTGACAAACAAATGGTAATTTTTGCTTTTAGGAAGGCTTAAATAGGAGATTAGAATAATTCCATTTTGATCAGAGCAAACATCAGAGTCGCATGTCTTTGTGATGCAGCCACTGTTTCTATTAACCACACTTTCCCTGATTTAAAAACGCCTGCTGTTTCTCCTGATTTGTGGCCGAGGTTCAGACTGACCTCTCCCAGATGTGACTCTCCCATTGGTCCCTTGGTCTCTGGGTTGGCGATGATGATTCGGACCCCGGGTAAGATCTGTTCAGAAAGCGGAGAGAACAGAGTGAGCCAAAGGCAAACAGCAACATTTACGTTTGACACATTTCAACCGCAGACACACAGAGAAACTTGCCTTCCCAGACTCCATCAGAGGCAGGCTGTGCGGTGACCCCCGCTCCACTAATCTGACCCTGCAGAGCAACAACAAAGAGCCGCAGCATTAGAACAGGTTTTTAAGACATTTATGCATTAACAGTCTTTCATTAAGGCTTAACACAGAGTGATACAGAGCCCCGAGTGGTCACAGCGGGAATTTTCTAAAGTGAAATTCTTTTGTGTTCCCTCACAGTTTTTGTCTCATATCGTTTTTACTGGTGACACTCGCTGCTGCCTGGCTGGCTCAGGTGGATGTGGCGTCTGTGTAGTTAGTGCTCACTCACTGAAAACTAATGTGTTGCAACTGAGGCACGGCCGTTGACGCAGCCTGTCGCAATGAGCCTCGGCAGGAGCCCGTTACAGCCTAATAACACGGCGCGGGGAGCTCCTGAACCAGCTCTGCTGTCTGTCTACCTGCTGCGGAGGGTAAACGCACTCGCTCTGTGGCCACAACCACACTGTAAACACATTACACTCAGCTGGACATTTATCAGGCGCTGAGCGATGAAGGGGTGCACTGGGTTTATAACAAGACAAAACGGGAGCATCGTTGTGAAACAAAGTGCGGCACAATAATAGTTTTGTTTTCATAATCACTAAATTGTAATTGAAAATAAATTATAATTATTAGCATAGCCCTAATATAAACTAAGCATTTTGTCTGTATATACAATATTTAAATGTCTTTTTTTTTTGCTTTTAACCTCTGTAGTATAAAAAAAAATCATTTTAATGTACAATATCTGCTGATTAAGCCAATAACTGTCTCCTCAGAATAAAGTTTGCCATGTGTCACCCTGTTGTTTCAGAGGGTTTGATCTCCATGTGTAACACTGGACGTTGAGGAGCACTTCGACAGCCTGTGGCAGTAGCCCCGGGGGGTTGTAGAAAAAGATCTCTGCTTCTGTGCAACACTGTCCAAAATTTAATCTGCAAATACGTATGTCATTCAGGGTGAAATAAAATTTACTGGGCTATAACAGTACGTGTACTTTGACCACTAAAGCTAATAGGAATTATTGATCACCAAAGCAGAAGTGACAGAAGTGGTGGGTCAGATCTCTGGTAACTCAGCTGGGATTACCTGTAACTACACACACTGACAGTTCTATTTATACAGTGCAGGGCTGAGCAGCCTCGGTGCTTCATGTGCTGGGATTTCTCTGGATGAAAGTGGCTGCAGACACAGGCTGAACACTGTAATGATGAAGACACAGAACCTTCTGGGGCTGGGAACACCTCGTTTCACTGGGCTGTGAGCTGGAGTCCTGCTGAGCTGCATCGCTCCTCTTAACCCACTGCGCCACCTTGTCAGGAGGTGTTTGAATTCATGTTAGTCTTCCTTGTTATCCAGGACTTCTTGTCCATCTCTGCTGCCTGGAAGCTGACAGTGTTTCACCACATTACGACATTCAGAGCAATGCCGGGTTTCACAGGAACTTGAGAAGATAAAGAAATGGTGTGATAGTAATATACTATCTCTGAATATGGTATTTGGGAATCGTAGACTAGATAATGAACTTCAATTGAAAATTGGGGGAGCTAATATAGAACGAGTATATGAAATTAAATTTCTAGGTGTCATAGTTGATGACAAATTCTCCTGGAAATCTCATATCAGATATGTTCAG